GTCTGCACGGTCTGTGCTCCCCTGCCTGGTCAGTGCTTCCCCATCTGTGCCCCCTGCCCCCTGTCCCCTTCTCAGCTCTGCTCCTAGAGGCCCACATCCTGCCAGATACTCTCCACTGCACAGCTTGCCTGGGCCAGGGACCACCCCGGGCAGCACAGTGCCCCCAGGGTCAGGTCCCTGTCAGTGCTGGCGCCAGGCTGTTCCAGGCATCCCAACCATCTGTCCTCCCTCCTTCTACCCCTCGTTCCAGAAAGCCTTGAACCCGAGGAATGGTCTTCCCGTCTCAGTGTCCTCTCCTTCCTCCTCCCCACCCTCTGGGCTGCATACCAGCGGTCAGGTCACCCCCACCCTCCAAACCCTTGGGGGCCTCTCTTCCTACCCTGCTCAGGGTGAGAGCTTTTGCCTGGCTTCTGGCCCCTGACCTACCGCCCCTCCTCATCTGGCCCCAGCTCCCTGGGCTCTCCCACGGAGTCTTCCACCCAGGCAGATGGGTTTCTGCAAAGCGTGGGAGCCCATGGCCTGCCTCCCCGACAGCCCTGGGGGTCTGCATCGTGCCCCCTGCTCCCTTCTCAGCTCTGCGCTCACAGCTGCCTCCCAGCTCTGCAGGCCGGGCCCCCGCTGGGCCTCGGCGCATGCTATTGCGTGGAGGCGTGAGGCAGAAGTGGGGACCAGGGGCCCCTGCGCTTGGCACCCCTGTTTGTTTACTGGTCCAGCCGCAGGCCCGCGCCGCTCCCCGCGGACCCGGCTGCCCGCCTGTGTCCGGCCAGGTGTTCGGTGATGGAGCGCGGGCTCCCGGAGGACAAGGGCTCAGTGTCTGCTTTCTGCAAGCACGGTGCTGACAAGGAACAGAATATCCACAGTGACCGCTTCCAGGAAACAGCTCTGGCGGGTGGGGGCCGCCAAGGAGCAGGCCCTTTCCCAGCAAGCCGGCCTGCAGGTGGGCTTCCAGGAAGGGGCCACCTTGGTCCCCCTCACCCCTGGAGAAGGGCCAACCGTGTCCCCAGATGCAGGCTGGGGAGTGTGCTGGAAGGGGGTTGGAGAGAGGAGAGGAGCAGGGAAGGAGCCACAGGGGCGGCCTGGGCCGTGGCCTAGAGCGGCCACCACAGCCTTAGGGGAGGCCACAGCTGGCCATGCTCCTTCTAGAACCTTCCATCTCCCTTGTAGGGGTCACACAATCTCCGCTGGGGGCTTGGGCTCTTTGGGACTTGTCAGGTACAACACACATGTGTGGACCCTGAAGACAAGAGGGACATGGAGAAGAGAAAGGAGAGCGCTGTGAGCCAGGTGGGGCGTAGGGTCTCGGCACTAACCAGCAGCTCAGCCTCCTGTCCCCCGGCTGTCGAGGGCCAAGTGGACCACTGCCCCTGTACTCTGTGCTCAGACATCACCGGGCTCTGGGAGGAGGGAGACCCTTAGTCTTCCTGGGAGCCTGGGTGGGGCCAGCAGGCCAGCCCTGTTTTTGAGACTTCCCAGGGTGCACTGTGGTCAGACCCCAAACATCAAGGTAGCCTGCTTAAGGGGTTTCACTTCCCTTGTATTGTTGGATTTTTCTGCCCCCATTGGGTGGTATAACAAGTGTCCTGACTCCACCCCGCCCCAGATGTGTCCATAATCCCTGCCTGAAAGTGGGCTCCTGGGTCATTCAGTCCAGGCCCCACAGAAAGGCACAAGACACACAGCCAGGCTCGGATGTCCACCCTCCCAGGGACACTGGCCCCACAAGGTGCCAGACCACACGAAAGCCAGCAGGCCCTGAAGAGCACCCCAAACAGGACAGGGCCCCCCGGGCATGTCTTCAGCACCACAGCACGGTTAGAGACGCTCACTCACAGCTGCAGCCACACAACTGTGGACACACACCGCCAGGACAGGGGGACGCTTAGGGCTGCACACCCCACGAGCACACAGCTACAAGGCTGACCCACTGCTCACAGGTCCACGGGGACATGCTGAGAGATGCACACACACGTGGACACACACAGGGACACACAGGTATACATGCATACATACACACACACACACACACACACGTGTTAAGTTCTGTTTTCTCCAAACTGGATGAGTTGGCAATTGCTCAGCCTACACCCTCCACAGAAGCACGGCTGTGGGAGGGTCCAGGTGTGAAGACCCTGCAGTTTTGTGCTGGGTACCTAGTGGGGGTCTCCACAATATTCAAAAGTCTTCCCCCAGACTTCTCCCCCCTCCCCCACCCTCGCCCCGGCCTGGGGTTTGGGAGTGAAATTCAAGCCCCTGTTTGCTTCCCAACACTTAACCCAGCACAGGGGCATTTTGAAAGTGCCTTTGGGGGCGGGGGCGCCAGGAGCCTGTCTAACAACCTTCTCTAAGCCTCTTTTCTAAAAAGCAGGAAATCGGGTTGGGCCAAAGGTAAACACATTCCAACCTGGCGGTCCCCAGCTCCACGGAGGGGCTCTGTCGGCAGGGCTGGGCCACCTCTGTCTCCCAGCCCTGGGCGAGGCGCCGGGCTCACGACCTCTTGGTAGAGCCAGCTCTGGCCTGTGGCTTCTTGCCCCCACCTGCCTCCACACGGCCTTGGCCTCGCCTGCTCCGGCCCAGGCCCCTCCAGGCACTCCCTCCTGGGTGCGCTGCCGAGCACCCCCAACGTATACCCTGTCCTGAGCATTCCAAGGCGCCGGGGGTGCGGGCACCTCCACGGGCAGACCTAGGGAGACAGAGTCAGGGGCGCTAGGGGCCTCCGCCATTCTCTCCCGGGTGGGTGCGGAGGAGCAGCCCCACCCTGCCCGCATTCCAAACCAGAGGCACTCGCTTTCCCAAATCGGCCTCAGGCCCCCAGGTGGAAGCCCCAGATTGAGAGCGTGGGGGCCCAGGAGAAGGCCACAGCACCCCGAGGAACTGGCCCCCTGACCTCGGGGGGTCCCAACAATTGCCCTCCCTTTCCTGGACCCCGATGCCTGTGGAAGTGGCCGGGGGGGGAGTCTTCTGTGTTGCCCAGAAGAGGCTTCTAGAGTCTTGTCTCCTTCCTCCCACTCCCACGCCCTGGCGGCCCTCAGTGCCCCTCTGGCCACCTGCGGTGCCCACATGGCCATCCCGCCACCACCCGGGAAGCCGGCCTTTCATCTTCCAAGGCCCAGCTTTGCAAAGCTCCCGCGGAGACGGATGTTTATAATAAAGGCCGTTTATAGACCTGACTCTTGACACCTAATGGATGGGTTCCTTCATCCCACCGGCAAAACCCACTTGGGTGAGTCAAACCAGCCGGCAGCCTGGAGATGGATGCGGCCTGCCCATGAGCGCTGTCCGCCGACTGTGAGAGCCTCCAGGGGATGGCAGAGGCGCTCAGGGGACCCCAAGGGCGCCATCCGCCAGGTCTTTGAAAAACGCCTTCACCCAACTGCATGCCGTGGTGCCCACCCGCCCAGCTGGCCCGGGACTATCCCCCTTGTAGCACCAGAAGTCCCTTGTCCCCAGAAACCTGAGGGCCCAGCCCCGTGTCCCCTGTACCATCGGGCGGGAGGGGCGGAGGGCCCAAAGGGGAGCCCAGACACACGGGACCAGTGGGGAATCCACGGGAGCGGAGCTCGTGGGGACGGCATCATGCTGTGGGCCCAGAGTCAGGGCAGCTGGGGTCCATGCGGGCCAGGACACTAGGGAAGGCCCCGAGCGAGCACAGGGCTGGGAATCTCAGGCCTCTGCTCTCTGGTCTTTGTCAGGAGGCCAGGCATTTCCTGCGTTTCCTGGCTGCTCCGAGCACTGGGAAGGGCCAGGACCCCAGCCTTATTTCCAAGAGCTGTTCCCTCATGTTCCCGGCGTCTGCACAGCCAGGCGCCAAGGAGCTGGGGGCCCTGGGGGTGGGGGCTCAGAGATAGGGGCGCCACCCTGCCTGCGGGGGGCCCCATGCAGCCGCTGTCTTGTGTGGGGACGCCAACCACAAACCCACATGGGGGCTGCACTTCTACCCAAGAGCAAACTCAAGGCCAGGCACCAGTAGGACACGGTCCTGGGGGCTTCAGCAGCAAGACTCTGACCACGGGGCCCTGCGTCAGCCCTGGACGCCCTCACCTTCTCACTCTCCGGTACCCCTCACCTCCTCCGCCCCGTCCCCTCCCTCATCCTTCCCTTCACCTATCTTCTTGTTTGCCACCTCCCTCACCTCTTTGCCTGTCGCCGTCCTCCTCTCCCCCTTCTCCCTCACCTCCGTCTCCATACTCCTCCTCTTCACCCCTTTCTACTCCATTTTCACCTGCCTGTTGGGAAGCTCACCCCCACTGCGGCCCCCACCATGCCCCTCACCGCAGGCGAGCACTCTCCTGTGTCTCTTCCTTGCTGCCCCCTGTGCCCCCAGCTCTCACTACAGCAGAGCACGTGTGGGAAGGGGACATCTCATCTCTGCGTCCCCTTGAGGCCCATGGGAGCACTTAGCAGCAGCAGGACTGTTGATGACAGTGGCCGGGGCCGTGGGCTCCCAGTGGCGTGGCTGCCCGGCCTGGACTGTGAGTCCCTCCCACATTTCAAGCCCATGCCCTAGGCTGGTTCTACGAGGCCTTTGGGTCTGGGGCGAGGGCTCAGGGAAGCCTAGGGTTGTCATCCAGGAGGTATTTTCGGTGACAGGACAGACCTCAGGGAGATTTCAGTGGTGCCCTAACTTGCTCTCGTGGCTGAGGGCTCCCTTCGCCACCCGCATCAGGGACATCTCCCTGCAGGGACCCCAGGGTCCCACAGCCCCCTCCTGTTTTCCACATGGTGCCTGTGATCCACCCTGATGTCCCCACTTCCTCTGCACCCGCCCACAGGCCTTCCCCTGTCATGCGTCCTTCCACAGCCCCACCCGTGATCTCTCCCTGGCTGCAGCCCCGTCGTAGCTCATGGGCCTCGCCCCATTCCATACGTCCTTCCCATCCTGTAGCCCCCTTCTCATCCTTCATGTCCCTCTCCTGTCCCACATGCCTTTTTCATGTCCCCCCATCACTCCCCCAGATAAACAGCTCCATTCCAGAGACAAATTGCTGTAACTGAGTTTATTGATGAGTCCAGGGCCCCTGGTGGAGCCCTGGTGGGGAGGAGCGCACAGCGAGAAGGACAATGGAATGCTTCAAGATTTGCTCGATGGTCAGAGCTTCCAGACTAGGCAAGGGGAGGGCGGGGCCCCACACACTCAGCCGCACCCTGTCACCCCCAGAGAGAGATGGACCACAGGGGGGCGCGGGCGCAGCGCAGGCCGAAGGAGGCCCGGCACACTCAGCAGCTCGCTCGCACACTCGCTCAGAGACTCAAGGCCAGTTCCAGAACCCCAACCAGTGCAAATGACTTAGTGCAAATTGAATTCAGGGGGGACGGGGGAAACGGAGTCCTGGATGCTTTGAGCCTCTTGAGCAAAGGAAAGAGAGAAAAAAGGTGTGAAAAAACAAGAGAAAAGGTTGAAGAGGAGCAGGGAGAGGAAGCAGAGTGGTGGTGAGGGGCGCGGCGGCCGGTGGTGGTCTCCAGCCGTGCAGGGGTGGCCACGAAGACGAAGACAGTGTCCCCAGGTGGGGCGGGGGCTGCCGTGGGCGCTGCTCGCTTCTGGTGGTGTTGGTGGCAGGTCGGTCTTGTTCCTTTAGCTTAACCTGCAGAGGGCGACAGGACATGTGGGTGGGGGCAGATCGGGCCAGGCCGGGGAAGCTTCCAGAAGGGATGCCCATGCTCACCCTCCAGAGCCGATTCCTGAGTCAAGTAGTGTAGTGGTTCCAGAATGCAGCATATTCTCGGGTCAGAGCTAGAAGGACTTGAAGAAGTCCCGGTTCCAAGGCCCAGGCGTGAGCTGGGTAGCACCATTTCTGTGGGTGGGGAGAGAGTGAGCGCCCGGCTCCCTGGCCCCGTGCCCCTGCCCACTGTGTGCAGCAGGGGCGCTCCTCACCTTGTCATTTTGAGGGTTCTTGGGTCCAGAGAGCAGCAGTAATGTGTTGGCTCCTTCAGGAAAGTAAAGGAACAGAGACCTGCCGGGCGTTCCAGCGCCCCCGGCGCCAGCCGAGAATGTTCTATGGGAAAGGAGACTTCTCACGAGTGAGGCCAGGTGGCTCAGCGGCCTGGGGGGGCCACGCCCTGTACCTGCACTTACCAGGAAGGCCGGAGAGCGTCACGTCTGTCCTCGCCGTCACACCAGACCATGTCATGTCCCTCTGAGCACCTCCTGGCACCCGGCCTTCGGTGGCTGGCGGCACATCCACCCCCACTGGAGACCTGGCTGTGGGAAGAAGGGACGAGGCGCGGGCTGAGTGGGCAGAGGCGGTGGACGGGGGTCAGGCGGGGACAGTGGGCTGGACACTCACCCTCGTCTCCAGTCCAAGCGCAGGGGCACCAATCTCTGCTCCGTCGTCGCCCACAGAGGCCCGCCTTGGCCATGGGCTCCGGAGGCCAGGCCCCGCGCCTCACCCCTGCCTGTGCCCCGACCTCCCTCCCTACCCCAAGAACTTGCACTCGCTCCACCCCACCCGCCTCGCCTAGTCTGGTCTCGCCAGCGCCCTTGACTCCCCTGGGTGCTGTCTGTCTGCCATGCCAGTCCCGGGGGCTGAGCGGGGAAGGCATACAGTGTCACCGAGTGCACTGTGGGCCCTCTCCGCGCCAGCCCCTGGGCCGCAGTGCCGCGTGGGAACGGCGCGTCCGCAGGCTGGGCCCGCAGCAGCCTCCTTGCTGCAGAAATCTCTCCGGAGCCCGGTACCTGCGGCCGCGGCTCCCTCCGGGTGGCGTCCCTCTGCGGCTCCCCGCGCACTGCACCTTCTTTCCCGTTCTCCGGCCCTCAAGGCTCTGGCACGGGCCTGGGAGGCCCAGCCAGAGCCGCTCCTGTACCTGCTACTAAATGAATTGCGGTGGGTGAGATGTGGTGGCGGCTGGGGACCCTCTGAATCCTGAGTCCCCCTTCTCGTCCTGTCTGACCCGGGCCTGGAATGCTCCCACACGTGCTGGATCCCCGCAGCCACCTGTCACCTCCCTGGAGGTGGTGACCCTGGCACCTCCCTTGCTGGCAGCCCCACCTCATCTTCCGCCCTGCTCTCCTGAAACACTCTTTCCACCTGGGACAGGCCCACGGCCCCCCAGCCTGCTCAGTCTCAGCTCCCCCCGAGACGATGTCACCTGTGCCGACCGCCCTGCCTTCGTCCTGCCCTTCTGTCGGGAGGTCAGCCGCTTCTCCTCGCCGGTCCTTGCTCCCCAAAACCTCCTTCTTGGAGAAGGCCAGCGAAGCAAGGCCCAGGGAGGGGAAGGGGACTCACCTGCCCACGGCTGCAGCTACACCTCCACTGCCCAGGCCCGGGGCGAACCCCTCTCCAGCTCCCCCTCGTCCACCAGCCGCCACGTCCTGAAACCAAAATTGACCGGGATGAATGTCTGGCTCCCCCTTCTTTCCTCTGCACACCCAGCTTGGCCCGTCACACCCACACCGATGTCGCCGTGCCTCCCGGACACCTGAGAGCCCACGCCATGCTCCCGCCACGCTCCCAGGTGCCTGCCAGCCCTGCCCAAGCCAGCCCCTCAGCCCGTTGCCGCTCCTGCCAGACTCCAGGTTTCCAAGGTGACCCTTGGCCCACGCAAGCTTCCCTGTACCCCAGCCCCATCTTCCCCTGGTTGCCCCCGTACCCCACGCTTCCCTGGTTACCCCTCGGCTCCCCCGCCTCCCCAGTTTCCCCCGGACCCCCCCATCTCCCCACCTCCCCCCTCCCGCGCCCTGCTTCCCGGCCCTAACCCGGGCTTTTTCTAACTGGGGTGGCCCCGCCCAGAATTCCCGCCCTGTTCTGCCCGCCAATCGGAGTGGGGACCGTGCTAGGGGAGGGGGCACCACGAGGCCCACCTCCAACCGGGAATGTCCCTCGTACTTCCTCGTCTGCCTGTCTGGAATTCTCCAAAGACGGCCTTCTCCACTCCCCTCCTTTGGCATCCTGTAGACAGGGCCTGGCATTGTCCCAAACGTCCCCCCTCCCCCAGGGTCAACACAGCCTGGTCCCCTCAGGGCAGATCACGCACCTTGCTCCCCACCCAGCTAGCACTGGGTGCGCACTCCGCCCCTAGTGGGGATCTTGGCTGGGGCCCCCGGCGGCTTGGGCGGGACTCAGAGCTGCTTTCTGCCACCAGCGTGGCTGAGACCACACTTCCGCCCGAGGGTCCGGGAATCCATGGGGAGCAGTCTCGTGGGGTGTGTGTGTATGGGAGTGTCAGGACTCAGGTTGGGCCAAGGGAAGCACCCCGGGGTCTCTGTGGGCGAGGGTGGGCGGCCATCTGGTTGACAGTGACTGTTGTGGCCACAGAGGCTTCTGCGGGGCAGTCTCCCCGTTGTGGTTGGGGCGCCCGGGTCCCCTCGCCGCCACGTTCCCGTCGTCTGGAAGCGGCAAGCCCGCCGTGCACTGCAGCTCACGGGCGCACTCTGGTGACCAGCCATACAGACTCATAGCCCTGTCCCCGCTGCCCCGCGCACCCACCCACCTGGGGCACCGCTGATTCGGGAACAAAAACAGAACAAAGACCTGAGCCTCAAGTCCCCAGCCACCCTTGGCCATCCTGTCCCTGGGGTGACCACCTTGGCCTTCCGGCGGGGCACTGGGTCCCTGCGGTCTGTAGGGTTCACCCGTCACATCTAGGGAGTTGGCACCACGGTTGGGGGCCCAGCTAGGCAAGGGACCCCGAGCACACCAGGCCTAACTGCACCTTGGGGAGAGCCCTGGGCTGACCCTCTGCTCCTGTGGCCCCCACCACCAAGTGCTGGGTACCCTCCTGCCTAATATGACACCCCAGCCTCTGTCATGGGTGAACCTCCAGATTGACTGTGGGGAAACCCCAGACTTGGCCTTAGGTGGACCCTCAAGTTAGGACAGGGCAGACTCCCACATTTGGTGGTAAGCAGACCCCGACCTCGGCCGCCTCCACGCGGAGACGCATGAGTCGGCGCTGCCACCTCGCGGCTGCTGCTGTCTCTACACACCCAACTGACAGCACCACGCAGCGGGTTGACCCAAGACAAAGAAAGAGACTCCAGAAATCCTCCTGTGCCCAGCAAGGCAGCCCCAGGACCCTGCACTGCCGGAGGCTGTGTGGGAAGGGTCTCCCTCTGAAGCCGACTTGGGGTCATCCGAGGCTTGGGGATCCCTCATTGCCCCCAAGTATTCCCTCTCGTCTCCCCAGCTTCGAAGGTGCAGCCTGGGGTGCCTCAGATGGGGTGGCCATCTGAGGTGGGGTGGCTCGGACCAGCTCCCTGTCTCCCTGATGACCCTCGTGGACCACTGCGGTCCCGGATCCGGGCGGACCCGGGACGTTGTGCAGGCGGACCTGGCCTCGGCGGCCTCGGGCGGTGACGTGTGGATCTGCACTGCCGCCTCGCGGCCGCTGCTGTCTACACATCCACAACCGACTCGGCACCGCTCAGGCAGTGGGACAAGCTTGGGTGTTGGCACCCGATGTGAGGAGGACCCCGGAATCCTCCTGTGCCCAGCAAGGCAGCCCCAGAACCCGGTGCTGCCGGAGGTCGGGGGCGGTAGGGTTCCTCTCGAGCTTGGCTCTCCATCACCCAGGCTCCCCGTCCTGTCCTCGTCACCCCAGGACACGGGACCCCTCAATTCCCTAGTATCTCCTCTCGCCTGCCTGGCTTGCGTGAAACAGGTCGTGGTTGTGGGTGCAGCTGGGACTCCACCCCCAGCAGCGCATGGGCTCCAGGGCAGACCCAGGGCGCTCCGGGAGGGAACTGCGCCTCCACGCACTTGTGATGAGCCCAGAGTGCGGTGCATGGCACCGGACCCCAGATTCAGAGCATGCTCACCCCCTGGGGACCCCCATCCTTTAACAATCCCCCAGGACACGGTGGTGTCTGCGGCACCCCACACTGGTGGCTGCGCTTGGACAGACGACCAGCAGGACCTTCCAGCAGGACGGGAGGCAGCGGCGCGCCCACATCTTTAGCATCTCAAACACCTGAATTGAATGGAGATGTTAATACAGCTGCTTAGAGTCTGAGGAGCTCTGAGTGTTCCCCTTGGAGGCAGATACCGGCTCAAATAAGGGCCCAGAGTTTGGGGAGCTGTCTTTGGTGGGGTGGGTGCGCTGGGCTGGAGGCACAAAGTCCCAGGTTTCGGCAGCACGCTGCTGTCATCATGCCTGGGGGACTGACCTGAGGCCCACAGCACAGCACTGACAGCCTCAGAGGGAGACCCGTGGCCGTGGGGCTGTGATGTGGCCGACAGGCTCCTGGGGTGGCTTGGATGAGCACCCCGTCTCCCTGATAACCCTCGTGGCCCGGCGGTACCAGAGCTGGGCGACCCGGGACGTTGTGCGGGCGGACCCCAGACTCCGCCGCCTCCGGCGGTGATGTGTGGGCCTGTGCTGCCGCCTCGCGGTGGCTGCTATCTCTACACCTACAACCAACTGGGCACCACACACAGGGGGTTGACCCAACACAAAGAAAGAAGACTCCAGAAATCCTTCTGCATTCAGCATGGCAGCCCAGGACCCTGCGCTACCGAAGGCC